CTCTCTCTCTCTCTCTCTCTCTCTCTCTCTCTCTCTCTCTCTCTCTCTCTCTCTCTCTCTCTCGCTCACTCACTCGCTCGCTCGCACGCATGGAGATTGCTTTGAGATCCACCGAAGAGAAGGCACACCTTTGTGTGCCTGCGCATAGGCCAAAAGGATCGTCCACTGCGGTCGAACGGCGTACAATTCGGGTTTCACAAAAGGACCATTAATGCTCCTCTTCCGCGACCGGTGAGTAGGTGGATGGATGCGAGGGCGGCGCGACTGAGGGGAGCTAAGGGGAAGTTGAGGAAGAAAAAGAATATCGATGGCATTCGTCTAGAGACGGAATATTTTTAGAAGGGAGAAAGCGCGGGAGCAGAAGCCGGGAGCGGGCCATTCCGCACGGCCGCGCGGATCGAGCAGGTACAAAACCGTGTACTGCACCTGCCACTGTGGCGACGGTGGCACGGGTTATTATCCCGGGCACAAAATTTGCATTAATCCCCACCGTGTCTCCGCGACGACCGTATGCGAGGACAAAAGAATATGGTCTGCCGGCGAGTTCTCTCCGCAAGACCGTATCTTTTCCTCTTCCTGACACTTTCTGTACTCGTTTTTACTGTTCTACGTCGTTACCGCGGTCGCGATCGCGGGAACGAATTGATTCGGCGAACAATCTCGCGGGCGAGGCTGAGGTACATTTTTGGCATACCTATTGACATATCAATTCCACCGAATGCTTGATAATTTCATTCAAGTTCGAGTTTAAACGGATATAATTTGAAAACAAATGAGACTCTCAACATACGAGTATGTTTATATCTTATCTCGTCTTTTTGTTTTTAATTTAGTTAATTTATCGTATAATCAATTGTTTTCAATTTGGTTGCGTTTTTTAATAAAAATTTCGTATTAAAAGTCCTGATTCGACAAATGCAGTCGCTTATATAAGTTACAAAAAAAGATACGCGTCTCATTGACGTCAGTCTACGCCGGCTATCGTGGGAATCGACGTGTTAACCGCCTCGTTTTCCTTAAGGTTGGTCTTATTGTTGGAAATTGAAACGTGACCATTCAACCATATTTGAGAGGATTATGTTCCGGGTTTAGTAGTCCAACTATTTTAGAATTGTGCACGTAGGCAAGGTAGAAATTCGGAGATTCCGTCGAGGTCACGGCTGTTTTTACTTCGTACTAAATTCAACTTGTTCGTATGGCGAGAGCACTATCGTATCGAAACACTTAGTTCTCCTCGAACAAATCGACTCTCTTTTTCGCGTAATGCTGACGTAACCGCGCTACTGTAACGCCCGCAAACCCCGTCTATGAAATGGAAGACTATCGAAGTCGCGTCTTAACTTTCTATCGACGCATTATGTCCGCGATAGTGAAGCCTTGACGTGCCGGCGCGGGTCTGGGCGGAGGTGGCGGCTGCGGTGTAGGCGCTCTAGGTGGTCTGGCAACTTCCTTCTCGCGTTCTCTGTTACGTTCTCTCTCTCTGGTCTGCTCGATCTCCCGTTCCCTCTCGCGCTCGCGCTCCTGTAGTTCCAAGAGCACTCTGGAAGGACCCGGTGAGCCGAGTCTTCGTCGGTAAGACGTCAGAATGAGCGGTGTCGGCGGCGGGAGAGCAGCCGGTGGGTTCTGGTTGACTGAGTGCGCCACAGAACCGCCGCTGGTCACCGTTGATGGTTTCACCGTGGGCAACAGATCTCTCCTGATTTGTAGCTGGGGTCTTTGCGGCAATGATGGCGCAGGTGCTGGCGCCGTGGGTGCGGATGACGGTGCCGAAGGTCCCTGCGGAGGATACCCGGAGGAACTCGATGACGCTGAAGGTACGGATGTACTAGTCGCGGACGTTGACGAGGAGGATGACGAAGGTCCTGGCTCAGGGCAATCCTCCTCCGGACTGTCGTCGTCCCCCCGCATCGCCTCTTCCAACGCTTCGGGAGGGACATCGCCTACGGCGTGGGTCAGCGTATGCCGCCTGAGATCGCAGTTCCTGCGAAACACTTTTCCGCATGACGTGCACTCGTACGGCTTGTGATCCGTGTGTGTGAGGAGATGAGTCTTCAGATTGCTACGTTGGTTGAAACTCCTGGCACAAACCGGGCATTTGTGCGGAGACTCCTCCATGTGCAGAATCTTGTGAACCGCAAGAGTGCGGCTTTGGCAGAAGCCTTTGCCGCACTCGCCGCATTTGAAGGGCTTTTCCTTACTGTGAATATACCTGGGTAGGATTAGAAGAAAAAGATAATAATAATCTGCACCCGTGCTCTCCAGTCTTTCTTTTTATTATTATTTTTCACGATTAGCAGTCAATATGAAAGGATAAAATACGTATTATACCTGTGATCTCTAAGATGATCCTGTCTCCTAAATGCCTTGCCACAAATGTCACAGGAGTATGGTCTCTCGTCGGTATGTGTCCTTTCGTGGATAAGAAGGTTGTACGATTTCGTGAATTGTCGATTACAAAATTTACAAATGAACTGCTTTTTCGGCCTGGACGCTCTGCCGGGTGCTCTGAGCAATCTCCGATCTAGATGCTGGTGGGCTAAAGGTCCACCCGTAGGATACAGACCGGTACCAGCAGCATAGGGACCACCGAACACGGGATAGCCGGATGGCTCGAGAAGAGGAGGTGGTGGTAGCAAGAGTGCCCTTGCCGCCAACTCCTTTCTTTTATCGGCCATCATTGCCATAATTCCGTAATCGGATGAGCTTTTCCTGGCTACTGAGGACTCAGGTCCGACTTCGTGTTCAGAATTCGTAGACGATGAGGAGGACGGCGGTGGTCCGGATAAATGAGCGTGCATTTCGCCCGGGTAAGGCGTGAGATGTAATCTCGAGGGTACCACGGGCACGAAGGCTGACGTCTCCCCTCGCTGAACGTGACTGAGACTAGCCAGCACCTGACGGTGATGGTGATACGCGGCGAGAGCGCCAGTCGGATCGTACCCTCTCGATGTCGACGCCGCGCCAGAACTGGAGGACGACGTAGCCGCGGAGGAGGGTCCTGACCTTGGAGACGGTCCAAGGTCCAGATCCCGACCTCTGCTGGTCTCCTCCGAGACCGTGGCCGAGGCCGACGTAACCACAATGTCGGTCGACATGCCGATTGCGCCTGAAAACATGAAAAAGATGTTAAAACATGATCGATGGAGTCGCCATGGTGAACTCGACCGGTCAAGTTGCCAATTTTTTCGTTATGCAATAAGCATTCTTCGGGAGAGACACGCGTTTGATCAAATTCCTTATATTAATCCTTATATTAATTCTTGATCCCTATTTACTGTTTATAGAATTGCAAAAATGGACATGAAAAGTTCAATTAAAGAAATACATACCGACGAACATACGCGTGCGTGTAACGAGAAAAAATACCTTTTTATCTCTCTGGACCCTCTGTTTATACATAATGTCATAAGCTGCTACATTGTCCTCCACATAAATCTCTTTACATACCTACATGTGGTACTACAGTATGCTCATGCATGCCGCAAATTCCATTTTGTATCATTATGTGAGAAATTATCGTGATCGACTTACTATTTAAGAGCGTATCAAGTCGTCGAGACGTCACCGGTCATTCTTCGTTCCTCGATTCTTCACATTGATAAAATTCTTCAAGTTTATGGTTTTCTCTGGTTAGTCCAAACGGTAGTTGGATGCATACCTGGAAAGATTAACGCGTTTCGATTTGTGACGCATGAAGATAGAGTTAGCTCTAAATCATCGCTGAATGGACGACGGAGTTATCGTATCGCTGGCGTATCGATATCGCTCCGGAGCGATCATACACCACGCGAAATGTTGCTCGACACGTTTGCGCTGACAAACGTCGAAGATCGCACGATCGGTTGATTCGCGAGTCTTCTGACAGTTTGACGGGTATCGACGGAAGCAGCGCGCGTAGCAAACGTTCACCAGACGCGGACTTTCGCGTAATCGCATCGGCTGGACGAACGGACAGACAGACGGCGTTCGCACAAGGAGAGGCTCTCTATATCGATCACACGTCGCGTGGTCGCTTTACTTTGCGCGAAATCGCGCGTGCATTGTTCGATCTTGCAGGTGCGTTTTTTCGAGGGCGGGGACGTGCGCGGTAATTTAAATGATAATTCAATCGTAACGCGCCGATTCCGGCGTACGGCATCGGCGCGGTATCGCTGCTGCGTGCGTTTTACGGATGTGAACTGGTTATCTCGAGCCGTGCACACCTGCCAACATGGCTTCCGCAGACCCAGCGGTCACGGCTAGTCCCAGCAGCAGCCATGTTGGAATCACGAATGTCCATAGGGACGCAACGAGAGACGGACACACGGCCGTTTCGTGGCTTCCTACCGCGGGGTTCCCCGTAATATCTCGCCGAGTATGCTCGCCCGAATACGCTCTCTTCTCCTTCTCGCGCTCTCTCGCTCTCTCACCTGGCTCTCACGCGTACGTAGGAGCCTTCTTCCAGGCCTTCCTTTCAGTTTCCTTCAACGAGCCACCGTCGCATCTCCTCCGAGCAAAATGATCACTTATTGACCAACGATCTATGGATCATCGGCAATATCCGCATCTCCAAGCACACTCACTCCGACAACGACATCGACAACGAGGACGAGGACTCCGAGTGGTCCTCCCGCGTATCAGTCACCTTCTTCTCTTCACCGTTCTCGCGCGTATAGGTAAACACACGTTTACACGTACACAGCACGCGGCGAAGGAACGTATCCCTCGCTTGTTGAGTCGCACTTCCGACTACTCCCGGTTCGCTCTCAACCGGTGAACCGCGAAAGCAGCGTCGACGCGCACGGCTACGTGCTCCCAAGGTCGATATCCCAGAGGTCGATTTAGCTCCCGAGTCACCGACATCAGAGGAACCGGAGCATCCAGACGAGAATATCTCGCGGTACGCTCTCGCCACAGGAGGACACGGAGAGGCGCGCGGGTTACTGCGTATCGGACGCCGCCAGGTAGGCTTCCTCGGCTCACACCCACGCGCAGACCGAGCTCACGTACAGCTCACACGTACGGGAGAACCGGCGCACACCTATGCGGCAGGGCGACTTGCCTGGGAGTCTTTCCGTTCGGCTGCCGCTAGTAGCGCTGCTGCTGGATGCTGTGCCGTGACTGCCTCGCTCTAGCTCACCTGAGCGCACCTTTGGTGCGACAGAGGTAAGTTCCGGCCGGTTCGCGGTCGCCAGAACGGGACTGACAGGTAGTCGGAGAGAGCGAGAGTCGAGAGTAGGCGAGGGAGGGCGCGGAGGTTTGCCGGTATCCTATCTACCAGTGACTATGAGGCGATGCCGCGCAGGTTGAACGCAGGAGGTTCAGGTAGGGACGTGGTATGAGGAGCAGGTGCGTAATCGCGAACTCGAGTACCCTCCCTCTCTTTCCGTGCCTGGAAGAGAGCCGCCGCTGCGCTGCTACCGTGAAATTTTCTTACCGCACACTCCGGACGCTCGATCGTGCGTGCTCGATCGTGCGGGTGACGTTGGAGACTCTGTTCTCTTCGCGTCGAAGACGCGACAACTGTTCTCGTAGCAGTTGGATAGGCAATAATCTCCGAAACTCGTCAACTTGTCAACTAATTTCCATTCGGATCACTTCTCACGCGTCACTCGCTCGTCGAGCAACGTCGAAAGCGCGACATCGGCGAGAGCCCGAGTCATCGCGGAGGATCCGCGATAGCGCTTCTGTTTGCTCGACGAGAGAGCACGAGGAGAGACGTCGTCGCGGTTCGTGCTACCAAGTCCAGGCGGAATGAAAAAATCGTGGGGCAGGTTGCTGTAAACGCACCTGTAAGAAACCCGCGCCACGCCGGCACTGACGAAGGAGATCGGTCGTTGGTGGGCGGAAAGGGGAGTGTGGTCCATGCACCCCGCCGCCAGCCAGAGGCACTCCGAGAGATCGAGTCTCGGTCTCTGTCTCTCTCTCTCTCTCTCTCTCTCTCTCTCTCTCTCTTTCTTTCTATCTCTCCCTCTCCCTCTCCCTCCTCCTGTCCTTCTCGATCTCTCCCTCGGCCACGCTCTGTCCCTCTCGCTCGCGTCTTACTGCGTCTCTCTTCCACCTACGACTTCTTCGTCCCTTCGATACTCCGCCGTCGCCGCACACCGGCGCACACCGTTCACCCCGCGCGCGTTCCCACTGTCCTTCGGCGTTTCCTTTTTTTTTCTTTCCGTCTCTTTCTACTGGCAGCAGCCGCCGCCGACGCCCAGCCGGTTTTACACCGGCAAATCGATTCAACCTTACGTACGTCTCGCTGGAGCGAGCGCAGTTCTAGTTCACGGATTCCGGAATTTGCTCCAGTTGGATAGAACAAGCGACGCGATTGTTCATCGTGGATGAGTCGTCCGATTGATCCGCGAGACGCGAGAGTCAATTTCTCTCTGTCTCTCTCTCTTTCTCTCTCTCTCTCTCTCTCTCTCTCTCTCTTTCTGTCTTCTTCTCTCTCTTTCTCGCTCTCTCTCTTTCTCGTCGTCACTGAATGGCCTTTTTCCGCCGTTTAACCGGCGATTTTTGCGTACGTCGTGTAATGGAGCTTAGATCCAGGCGGAGAAATGGGCCAGCCGCTTACATCGCGATCGGTTTCCCATTTGGTCCAGCTCGGCTATTACTTCGTTTTTGTCAGGCGGGATGCTCGCTTGGGATGCACGCGCGATGTTGCAGACACTTTTCGTGGTAGAGCTGTTCTCATTTATCCTTGATGGTTTCCCATGCCGTGGTAATCAGAGAATTTTGACGGGATCACGTCGTTCGCGCCCGAAGACTCCACGCGCATTTGAAAATAATTTTGCGGTCCTTATTCCAGGCGTCAGTCCTTATTCCAAGATATTCTCAAGGAATATGCGCGGGGTAATTTCGCGGAAAACAAAACTCGCCACGTTAATCGGCCGGCGAAGCCGCATTTGCGAATTCAAGGGTCGAATTCGATATGCGTCGCGATCGACCGACCCCATAGAGCATAGATATCAGATCGAATTTCTCGAGTAATGCCGCCGTCAGCTGGCTCCGACCGAGAAGTAATCGACTTAAAATGTTTTCTCGTATCCTCTCACTCTTTCGGATACGTCGTGAGTATAGCCTGTCTCACCTGCGCGCGGAACGCTCGTGACGATACAAAGTACAATATCGTATTTCACTCGTGGCAGATACCGACGAAAGAAGGGCCAAAGTTTGTTATCGAAATACTTAGCGCGAGGTGTGAGATCTTTTTGTAAACTTTACCCTTTATTTCACAAGGAGTGTTATGCACCAAAAAGATCGTGCGACGCGAGTGCGCCCGCTGCAATTCACTCGTTGTTACGTCACTTTGCGAAAGTTGAGCACTCTGTAGGATCGATTGATTCATTAGAATCTCACACGTATAATTTACACAGGGCAATGTCGTTTATTTATTTTTTGTCGTTCCTTTTTCGGCGAGATACGGCCACACCGCTTCTCGACAACTTTTCCGTGCCGCATCGAAATCGGTATAAAAATCCGCGACGGCGAGCGCGCCAAGTTGCGTGCCGCAATTCTGAACACGTGTGCGCGGCAACGCCGGGGATAAAAGGCCAGCAAACGAAAGTACTATCCACCAGCAATTGCTGAACATGTCTCCGTAATTGCATATCGATTTTTTATCACACGACTGCAAACGTGATATCCGTGTCGTGCAAAACTCGGTGAACGGCATCGTTTCTCTCTTTCAAGCTTTTTCATCTTGCTTATCGAGACGTCCACGAGGCATTTAAACGCTCGTGGAAATCAATCGGAGAATGCGTGCGAGCAAATGACGCTCGTATTTTGCAACGTGTAACTGAATCGACGAACCGAAAATCACGTGTATTCGGGTGAGAATCATTCGGGGGCGAAGGGAAGAGAGGGTAACACGCTGTTAAAGTACGCGTAAGCAAAAATTCAAAACGCCACACAGAGATCCAGACTAATCCGGCATCTAAGACTAAGACGAGCATGAGATGCCGTTCAGACAAATTAGCGGAAAAAGAATGAAATTTTAAGTTCTTTATTTGAAATATTTTGATCACTTTTATATCTGACACTTATATTCTTATCTTTAACCTTTACCCATCGATAGCTACAATTTTATCAAAAATAATTTGAGATTTCGAGTGCCACAAAATAGGACTATGACCTTACGAGAGCTTGGCCGCATTTTTTACTTGAAAGAACTCTTATCAAGTTATATGATACATTATTTGGTTGTATATTCCAATAATTAATATTTAACGTTATATATTTGGATAGTTACAAAACAAAATAGATGATAAAAATTTGTGTTGGTAAATATGTTTAATTATTCCGTACTAGGAAGCGAAACTGGATCACTGTGTGGCGTCGCACGTCTCCTCCTCCTTCTTCTCCTCCTCTTGCTCCTGTGAATTGCACGACGGCGTATGCAAATTAATAGCGCGCATTTCTATGCTCGTCAGCTCTTGAAACATGTAGCCGCTCCGCGCCGCGAGTAATACACTCGAGCCCGAAATACAGTTGCCGCTAGAAAGCCCCGACCCGGGCGATCCTCAAACGATCACTCGGCAAAATTCATTTTGCGGCTCTGCCGCTCCGCGAAGCGAGTGAACGTGAAAGGGGACAACAAAGAGACGGAGGAACGTTGACGAATCGGTCGGCAAAATCGCGCGTGGTAACGGTACGCGGATGGACGATACGTCATCTCTCTTTTCCTAAAAGGTCGAGACGCCAAGTACAAGGCCAGTCTCCGACTATCCTCTCGCGTGGGAAAAAATCATGCCTTGAATGGACGATACGTGTTCGTATTTGCATAGTGTTATGTCGCCGTCGTGGCGGAATGCAGAGTGTGAATGGCAGCGCGTCATTGTTTTCGAGGCTCTGATCGATCGTACAGATCGTCTCGCGTCTCTGAGACTTCTTCAACGACCGCTTGTGCGCTAATTAACGGAAACGTAACCGTCCCAATTAAGATGTCAGCGCGAGACAATGGCGCTCCTCGTCCGATCGAACTTTCAGAGATCCTGAGGTCGCAAAAATTTCGGCAACGACCGACGTCGATAAACTTCCACTTCGACTCATTTTGCCAACAGTTGAAACTTTAATTGTTTATTGCGCATTTTGCTAAAAAAAAAAAAAAAAAAAAAAAAAAAAAAAAAAAAAAAAAAAAAAAAAAAAAAAAAAAAAAAAAAAAAATTACAAGCAGCAGGGAGCTGAACAGCATCCTGACTAAAAAGTAGAGATCTGGAATAATGAGAAAAACCTGCTTCGATTTTTTTTATCCATGTATGAGGAAAAAAGCGGTACCGCTTACGAGGCAAGCCGCGTTAATAACAAAAAACGGGAAAGGATAGGAGGTTAAACCTTAACCTGAGCTTGAACTCTTCAGACAAAGACACTTGAACTCAGCTTAGTCGAAACTGGTGGAAACTATCATTTTAATGCTATATCCGAATGTTAACTCCGTAATTGAGAAAGAAAAAGAAAAGGCGTAACGTTAATACGGTAGACGTGCGTGCGCGCCTTTAACTTTTCCGACGTGCTCGCGAGCGTAAAACCGCGGCCAGCGAATGCGGTATCCAGTGCGTGTCGCGAGAGTTCTTTCACCGCGGCCCGTTAAACCTCGCTCGAAGGTAGCCTAATACAAAATTAAAAGAGCTCTTTATACGTATGCCGCGCGTATGGGATATCAGGGTTGAAGCTCTCTTCTCTCTTTCTCTTTCCCCCTCTCCCGTCTCTCTCTCTCTCTCTCTCTCTCTCTCTCTCTCTCTCTCTCTCTCTCTCTC